AACGGATCTTCCATAAACAAAAATAACAAGAGAAAAAGACTTAGCATGAGAGAGTATTTTGCATATAGACTAATGTCAAAAGGAATAATGAGGTCTCGATGTCAGTAAATGCTAGAAGGTTGCTATAACAATTTATTATAAAAAGATATACAATGCTAGAATCTCAAAGGCTATTATGGGTAAGAACACATCAGAAGAAATTAAGAGTGAATTTATATTAAAGATTGTCAAATGCATTACTTAATGGAGAATGAAGTGTAGCATCTACAAGCAAATGAGTGATATTACCTTCTTCATTCATAAGAAGAGCCAGATACATGATTCAAAATTATTAGGATGCTATGGCATTATGTAGGTGGATAGGTTATGCAAACATATTCATCACATTTACATGCAATCTTGCCTGGCTAGAGGTTATTTGATTTTGCAAAAAATATTCTATTGCACCATTGCATAGACCATATATTCTTTATAGAATATTTAAGTTAAAATTATAAGCAATGCTACATGTAATTAAGGAGAAGAATATTTTTAACACAATTCATGCAAGTATGTTTTTTCTTTATTAATTATGTACAAATTTTTAATGCTTTATAAATTTCAAGAATAGAGAGATATATTTTTTCCATGACACAATTTTTTAAATGCCATGCAGAGGTTTACATTATTGAATTTTAGAAGCGAATACTTCCACATGCTCACTTGCTTTTATTTCTTGACAATAGTGACAAGGTAAAAGATCAAACTAAACTAGAAGTAGGATCATTTCTGCAGAAATACCAAATCATCAGTCATCTCCTTAGTTTTATGATTCGGTTAGAAAGCATATGATACATAGACCATGTGGTCATTCCAACACAAAGTCACTTTGCATGAAAGATAAAAAAGTTTAGTAAATATTTTCTAAAAAAATTCAATGATGTCACAACAATTCATGATGATAGATACCCTACATATTAAAGGCATAATGATGGATGACCTATTGGGGCGAAAGTAGTGCACTTAGAAAATAGAAATGGTGTTCCTTATAATCCTTCATTGCTCTCTATGTTTGTAGCTCATATCAATATTGAAAAGTGCAACCAATCAACATCGATTAAATACTTATTCAAGTATATTAATAAAGGAAATGATAAGGTTGTTGCTTCAATATATGATACCGATATAGATAGCAATTCCAAGTAAGTTGTTGATGAAATCCAACAATATTACAGTTGTAGATACATATCATCTTGTGAAGGAGTTTGGCACATATTTACATTTAACATTCATCATAGATTTCCATATGTAGAAAGACTTAGCTTTCAATTTCCAAACTAACAGTTAGCCTTTCATTCAAATATTGAGAATGTTGAAGAATTATTAGAGAAGCAACAATTATGTGGATCAATGTTTCTTTCTTGGACGAAAATTAAGTCCATGATTCCTTTGCTCAAACTTTGACATATATAGAATTTTCACCATATTATGCATACAAAAGAAATAAAGGATATGGGAGCGAAAAAAGAAAAGATTTTAAGTTGGTAGAATTACGCATACAATGCCATCTTTTAGAGAATTGTACTTCCTACTATTGCTTTTGACAAAAGTAAAAGGACAAAGATTATTTGATGAGATTAAAACTATTAACAGTGCCACTTATCCTATATTTAAAGTTGCATCGTTTGCTTTAGGATTGCTAGACGATGATAGAAAGTACATTAATGCTATTAAAGAAGCATCTATTTGGACTTTAGGTACACATTTAAGGAAAATGTTTGTCAATATGCTATTAAGTCCATGCCTAAGTCGACCTAACATTGTACGGAAAGAGACATCAAAATTATTATATGAAGATTTGTTATATGTCAATTGCAACAACCCTTTATTTATATGTAAGTGAGATCATTGACTTAAAGTTTTTAATTTTCCTTCACATATTTATGCATGACTAATATTGTGAACACTGTATTTTGTCCGGACATATTTTACATTTAATAAAAATAATAATAAATTCAACCAAAATATATATATATAAAAAAATAAAATTTAATCCTTTTAGGATAATATTTTTTTAAAAAAATATATTCTAACAAAATAAAGAAAAGAGACATTCTTACTTAATTCAAAATTAGATTTTTCTCTCTTAATCTGATTTCCAAAATCATGATTAACATAATATGAAAAATAAAAAGAGAAGCATTAAAAAAAAAGAGGCATTAAGCATTAATGAAACAAAAAAAAGAGAGAAAAATAATAATAATAATTGGGTGGATGAAACATTGAATAACCAGTATTTCACCTTTAACTATCAACTCCTAACCCTTCGTTCAGACTCACATGCATAAAAAAAAAAGAAGCAAAAGCATGCACAGAACACACATCCATACATACTTTTGGACATACGCAAAACCAGAAAGAAGTAAAAGACAGAGATTGAAGCGTGCACACAAAACACACAGCAGAGACGCAGAGGAAAGCGGATATAAACTAAAGGTTTAAACACTGGAAAATCTAGTGTTTAGCCAATAGTCCAACTCTTCGTCCAACGTAGAACCAGAGAAAGAGAAAAGAAAAAAAAACAGGGACTAAAGCTTGCACATGAAACACACGACCGAGAGACATGGAGAGCAGCTATAAAGGGCATCTTCCTCAGCATAGAAGACGCACACTTACATGAAAGGCATAGAGAAAAAGAAACCAAGAGTAGCAGACAGCAGACCTAAACTGTTTAGCCACACGCAAGGTGAAATGCAGAACAGAGCAAAAATGTAGCTATGTGAAAACGCAGCTAAAGAACACCACACTTTTTGGCTGAAAATGAGGATAGTGGAAAAGAAGATAAACACAAAGAGCAGAGGGAGAAAGCTAATCTTTTAGCCGTACAGCAGAGACGCATGAGCAAAAGAGAAACACAAAGAGGAAAACGCAGAAAGCAATTTCACATACACACACGCAAACAGAAACTCAGAGAAAAGAAGAAGGAAACGTGCACGGCAAGAGGAAGGAGGAGCTTTAGCTATAAAAGAGAGCACTTGTGCAAGGAGACGGGGGGGATGAGAGTAGCAGTCCGAGGAAGAAGAACACTAAAAATGAGAACAGAGAGAGAATAGGGAGAACGAACAAAGAAAACAGAGCACAAAAGAAAAAAAACAGAGCACCAAAAGAGAGAAGAAACTAAGAGAAGAGAAGAGAGACCGAGAATGTGAGGGAGAGAAGAGAACTAGACAAAGAAGAGAAATAAAGCTAGATAAAAAATAGAGTAACGGAAGAGAAGAAAAGGAAGAAGAAAGAGAGACCGAGAACGCCAGAGAGAAGGAGATCGAGAACGAGAAAAACTGAGGAGGAGAGAGAGCTTGCTCTAAGAGGCGAGAAAACCAACCGGGTCATGCATGAATACAGCATTTACCCTTTGAACCATGCAAAAGGACTGAATCCTTATAGCCTGGACATAGTTGGCCATCTCGGTCTGAGTAGTAATATGCCTACTCTCTGTTTCTCGTAGTCTTGCAGTTAGACCCTGAAGGTATTTCTTCTTTCTCTTTATTTATTATCATACCTGATATTTTGATTATTTATTTGGTTGATGGAAAGGTTTTGTTCTTATTATTATCATTTACATTCATGGAGAAAGCTAATACAGGAAGGACTTGTTCTTCTTGAGCCTTAGACAAATTACACCTTTAATTGTGAATAACAGTGAGAGCTTAACATCTTCTTAGGTCTGCCATGAAATTATGATATTTATATGATATGAGAAATTCATAAGAAATAAATTGAGTGTTGATGATATAGATGACATGTAAATCGTATTTATTGTAATTGTTGGGTGCTATCACCACTACTCTCATTATTTCCTTTCAAAAGCCTTATCCAAGCATTAAGCCCTTTTTTTTTAAAAAAAAAAAAAACCTTAAAGAATACACTCTTAAGTCAAAAGAGGCAGTGGAATGTCAAAATAGTTTATTTCTTTATTCTTTTTATTGTCTTTGTTGCATGGATTATTTAGTCAATCATAATATTATGCATCGATTGCAAGTGCAAATATCTTGATTATCATTTGTTGTGAGATTTTAAGAATCTCTATAAGCATTTAAAATGATCCTATATCATGAAAATCAATAAAATTTTGCAAATATGAGGATTAATTTGTATATAATAATATGGGTTTCAAAAGGCCCATCATTAAAATTAACTCTTTTTTATAAACAATTTAAATCAATAAAATATATTTAAGTCTAATGAGAGATTTCAAGAATCTTCATTGAGATTTAAATTAAGTACATCATCGTGTGGGATAATAAATCCTCGCAGATGATGTGATTATCACTTTGTATATATTAAATAAATAAATAATTTTTGTAAATAGAATTATAAATGTTTTTTAATAAAATTAATTAATTAAATTAATGTATTAAATCTTTTGATTATATGAAATTTTTAAATATCTATAGACCTTTAGAATAATCATCATACCATGAAAGTCAATAAGACATCGCAAATATAACGATTAAGGTTTCTATATTTAAAAATATAAGTTATATAATTACACATTAAAATATACTTAAAATATTTACAATATTTCACTCTTTTATCGTGAGAGATTTTTGAAATCTTCACAAATATTCAGAATAACTGTATTATCGTAAGAACTAATAAGACTTTGCAGGTATAGCGGTTAAAATTTTTAAAAGAAATAATAAAATAATAATAATTTAAACCCTTTATTTTTTTATTCCAAAATTTAAAAAAAATTGAGAAAATAATTAAAATTAAATCACTTTTTGTAATTTAAAACACATATATCAAAATTTCAGAAATTATTTTATTTGCAAATTGGTAAATTATTTTTAATTAATTTCTCTTCAAAAAATATTTTCACCAACTTCCAAGCCCGAACTACGGAGACTTTGATCTCTATCACAGGATACGTAGGCCTCAGAGCCAAATTTTAAGTTAAGTCCTCCCCATAAATAAATAAACATTTCTCGCTTAATTCTTATTTTTTTAAATCAAATACATGAATATAAAAGAGATAATTAAAATAATTTTAAAATCATATTTATATAGCACAACAAATTTCAGGTAACCGTTCTTACTAATAGGTGTTGTAGGGTGCCTAATACCTTCCCCACACTCAATCAACTCCCGAATCTATTTTCTATTTTCATAGACCACCCTTATCCACCTTTAAATGATTTCCCGAGATTTCCCTTAAAATCTTGGTAGCGACTCCCATTTCTCCGGTCTTCCTTTCGAAGGTCAGAACCTCCGCTCTCGCACCGTCCGCATCACATTTCCAGATGCGACAAATATTCAATTTGATTTTCAGATGTAGATATACCTGACAATGATAAGGAAAATGTAATGCTAAAAGAAAAGAGTTGCTTTGCAAGAAGAAGCAGATAAGCTTGTACGTGTTGTGATAGTTGAGCAAAAAGAAATATTTGACATCGCAATATGTCATTGAATTCAACAAAAAGGTACCTTTTACTTTGTACATGGATATGGAAGCATCAAAAAGACACTTCCATGGAATTCATTAACATTGACACTGCGTGCAAAAGGTGAAATTGTTCTAACAGTTGCTTTGAGTGGAATAGTAGTAACCTTATTACTTTCAAGTAGAACCGCTCACTCTAAGTTTCCTATACCAATTCAAATCACAACAGATTTTATTTGCAATATTACACATAATTATCCATTAGCAAATTTATGACGATGCACAAAACCCATAATATGGGAACGATATTGCATTAAAGCCTTAGGTCGTACACTCAAAGATATTATGCATTCTAATAATGTTTTCAATGAAAAGTGTATACTTAAGGGAGGTGATTTTCATCAAATCCTTCCAGTTATACCAAAATTTACAAGGGCAAGTATAAATGCTTGCATAAGTTCTTTTCATTTATGGAATTACTGTAAAAAAATTTACTAGACAAAGAATTTACAGTTGAGTACAAATTCAATTGAAAATGATCATGGCAAGTTGGAAAAGTTTTCTCAATGGCTACTTGATGTTGGTAATGGAAAGATAGGACTACCACATGATGGTATGATCAAAATTGATACCCGTCAAATTTATTAACCTCAAAATACAAGGATCCAATGGAAGCAACTGTTATGGAAATTTATTCAAATCTTGAACAAAATATCTCAGACACTAAATACTTTAACAATAGGACAATTCTTGCACCTACTATTAAGACTGAATCAAGTAAACGATTATTTATGTTCAATCTTCCTCGGTAATTCAATATAATTTTTCAATTGCAACTCTATGCAAATCAACACAAGACAATGATTGCTTTGATAATTTATACACTACAAAATTTCTGAACACTGTAAATAGTTCAGGCTTGCCTCCTCATAAATCAACATTAAAAGTTGGTGCTCCTATCATGCTTCTTATAAATATTGATCAAGCAACTGGTCTTTGCAATGGCACTAGATTATGCATCACAAGACTGGGAACAAGTGTCATTAAAGCCATTACGTTAAATGGATCAAATCCAAATCAAAAGGTACTTACTCAAAATGAATATGAATCCTTCAACGAGTTGATGAACATTTTGTATGCTAAGAAGACAATTCTCTATCACCCTTTCATTTGCTATGACTATCAACAAGAGCCAAGGACAATCATTGAGGTATGTTGGTATTTATTTGCCTAAACCTGTTTTCACTCAAGAACAGCCATATGTTGCTCTTTCTAGAGTGAAGGCCATAGATGATCTTAAGATTCTTGTGCATGACAATAATAGACAATCAAAAACTACAACTACAAACATTGTGGATAATGAGATTTTCCAAGACCTTGTTAGAGGAAGAGAGACATCTTAATTGGTTGATTTCATGTATATAAACATTTGTCTATCATTTAAATTCGTCTAGTGATGAATCTTTCTTATGTCAATCTATATATATATATATATATATTGATATCATGTTAGAAATTATGTTCGAGTACTTCGTGGAAAAAAGTAATTTATTACATGGTAAGTGTCATAAATATGACAAATAACAAGTGGAATTGAATAAATGAGAGAAATTATAAAATATTAACTTCCCGTGCAACGCATATAAAAGTTAATGTCAGTTTGTGAAATAGAAATATAGATTGATGATAAAGCAATACATGGTGTATGGTACGGGCCACACATGGCAGGTTCCACAGAGTGACAGGGTGACACATGGCAATATTTCAACAGCCACCCCATTGATTGATAGTTTCTATAACAAATATTCTCGTTAATACTCAACTTTCAATGGCCACAAAATAACAGCTAGTAATTGATAGTATCTACAATAACATTTATCATTGGTAATTGTCAACTCTCAACAATAACTTTTTTTTAACAACCACCAATATTTGCTTTTTACAACATTTGCCATCACTAATTATACTAATTATATACATTCAGTGCTTACTTTTGTCATATAAAATCAACGACAAAACTCTAACAACGTCTTATTTTTCAACATTAAGCAGCTACAGCTATTTTTAGTCCCATGAATTACCATCTATAAAAACATATTAATTACTAAGAAAACCCCCTGTAACAGTTTTAATTATATTAAAAGTCATCATGAAGTTACTTCGATTTAAACCGAGGACTCTACGTTATTTAACTATCTTTAACCTATAATTAAAAGCTCCTGACCGATTACAATTGAAGTTATGAAAACAATTTTAATTATAACACATTGCAATACTTCATTATTCTCACATATTGTTCTATTAAGAAATTAAAACCATAACTATGCACACTAATCAATCCTATAAATTGAGGATATACAGATTCTAATCATTTCAGCATAAAAAGCCCCGCATAGATAAACGAGGTTGCGCTCTCACCTCTTTCAAGGCAATCTGTTGTAAGACACGAATATAATCGAACAAAAAAAAATTCAGAATTCACATCCCCAACCAATAGTGACTGGTGCTGCTCTGGATGTACATCTTAGTTACTAGAAAACCTAATTCTAGATGATAGCAATTAGATAATTTGGAATGTAAGTGAACTCAGCTTAAAATGCATTTAACACAAGATATGAAAAACTTTGTATGTGAGTTCTTGCACTAGACTCTAGACTCTGACCAGGGATCAGATCTTGCTTTCAACGTAGAAACCAGATTGAAGGAAAGGAAGCACTTACCCCTTGGTTAATATTTCATTTTTCACTATGTATAACGTGAAAAATGAAATGGAAATGGTTGCATGCACTTTTTTCTGTGGAACAATCAAACGAAAATGGAAAACAATAACCCAATAGGAGAACAAAATGAAGTGGACAGTATCTGGGTCGTGCTACCCAAACGCTAAAAAATTAAATGACATTTCACAAGTTGCCAATGATAGGTCATGTAACCAAAAGTCTTGTTTTAAAAAAATAATAATTCAGCAGATTATAAGGGGACAGTTCCCACAAATAGGTTAATGTTCCAGCTTTTCTCGACACTGACATGGAAAAAATAAGATAAACAGTCCACATTTCCAAGGAGCTCAACCAAATGAAAGTTCTAGTGACCATATTTCTGAAATTCCCACTCACTGTTATCTGTCGCAGCAGAGACACACCAAGCAGATTAGAAAAGCACTTGGGAATTCATAGAAGCCTGGTAAAAGAGGGCATACCTATGTATAATGATTATATGTATTGATATTGATAAGCACATACCTAGAGGGCATACTTGACGAGTCTTGAGCCATCGACTAATGCAATGAAAGTGAAAGGCATGGTTACAAACCCCTGCGTAAGATGAAAACACAGCAACAGTTTGAGTAGTCCTGCATTTGCCAAGCTGAGGTAAACTACAAAAACAATGGGATTCAAAAAGTACATTTACATATAGCAAAATCCAGAATCAACCAGGTGAAAAATGATCAACGCACTAGCAACAGTTTTTAAAATGCACATAATGACCATGAGCTAACACCAGCAGAGTTAATTTTGCTGTAACTCTGCTAACCCTTTGCAGCTATGATAAAATAGGCTGACATGGAAATAAATGAACTAAGTATAATTAAAAAAAGGGGGAGATAAGCGGGCAAAAGTGCTTCCTTGTACATTTGGATTAAACAGAATGTGAGAGATGAAAGCGGTTAAGTACACACCAACAAAAGGGTTAACAGAGTTAAGTATAATTCAACAATATTAATTCCATTGGTGCCAGTTCATGTTCCTTATGTGTAATTTTAAAACCATAGGGACCAATGCTGCAGACAGATCAAATTAAAGGGATTGGGAACAATTAAAATAAAACTACAAGGACTAAAAACAAAATGCAATCAACGTACAAGAACCAAGTGAATATTTTCCCCAATTTAAAATACAATTCCTTAAGTCAAAGAAAAGGCTTACTTTATTTGAATTAGAAAACTGATCAGTTTATGTTCTTACAATGAACTGATAATAGCTTGGGCTATAACCTCACATTGAGCAGATTGAAACATGGACTTAATGCATTGCACAGAGTTCCTTTATTTGAGATGGGCTGTGAATAGTGCAGTTGGCTATTTTTTATATTGATATATTGATGTCCTAGAATTTAGACGCAAGTCTAATAGTGTTGCAAGATAAACTTAATTATCTGACCTAACAAGAGCAGAAAATAAACCATGAACAATCCAGAAACCTAAAATAAAGAATACAAAGAATTATAATAGAATAGCAATATTTGTTTTTGATAGGAATCATAGGATAATGAGAAGGAATTACGAATCGATAATGAAATCATGAGGAGACAATTACTAATCATTATAAAAACATTCACATCCAACATCATAGCGAGAAAGATATCTATGATTTTTTGTATATCAAATTTATCGATATCAACACAATTACAATTGATACTTGAATTATACATTTTTATTTTTTTTATTCTTTAATCCCTGTGAAACATTGTTCTAGTTATATGTTGATAATGACACCAGCAGGAGGCAGTTATCTTAAACATTATAAGTGCATTTACGTCCAACATCATAATGAGAAAGGTACAAGTGACTTTCATATTATCAATAACTTTAATGCAAATGAACACAGATATACCACAAACATTTGAATCTTACCACCTCGCCCCCAAAAATTTTTTGTTTAGGGGGGAATATCCCACAACTAAGAGAGGGTAAATGGCTTTACAATCACAACTAAATCGAATTCATTGTGAACAAGAGGTCTGAAAATAAAGGTTCAAGCATCATTCCAAATCCCAACTAGAAAAATGGAATCCATCAGGTCATAGGTGAAAACCTTTTTTTTTCCAGATATAAGGTAGGGGCAGAACTGTAGAATACATTCAAACTGTGAAAGTCACCACGAGTACAACCAAAAGTGTTGTTGAATGGAAAGCGAGAGAGGATAAATAATTATGATCTTGACAAGTTGTCTTCATGCCTCTATAAGTTTCACTTCGTAATGGATGACATGTAGGTTATTCCCATGCACATAAAAAGTGAAAATATTTTGTGGCTCATCCACTCGTATTGAAGTCTTTACAGACAGTAGTTTAACAGGTATTAAAATTCTATCCTTGCCTGCCAAAGGGGACATAAGTACCAATCTATGAACCAGACAAATTTACAATCTAACATGTAGGCATTACAGATATTTTCTACGATGCTTACATACACAGACAACAGAAGTCACATCACAATCCACTTCCAAAGAAATTTACGATCTTATGATCGTAGTGCAGCAAGGACACACAACACCAGGAAATTACCATGCCATCCATCAACTGTAGTTAAACAAAAACGAACTACCAGAATCATATAGCCATTTGGATCACACTCCGCAGTCCGCACTAAAGTTGTAAAGAGTATTTAGAAAAGAAAAATTGTTAAACGATGAAAAGTACAATGCCATGCGATTTTCTTGTTTAATTCATAATGGGGTTAAGTTGTAGTAGGATTTCAGGAAATACCCCAAGCTACAGTGCATTCCTCGCTAGTGGCGCTAGCCTGGTTAGCCTGGCACTCGATGCCTGCACGTCACATTTAAAAAAAAAAAAAAAAAAGAGTAACAGCGTTTGGATACGTCCAGAGTCCAGGATCACGAAAGGGAAATAGTTAAAGAGGATGTGCAGTTATCAAGTTCAAAAACGCAGTTAATCTATACTTACAAAGATCCATGATATGGTTCCGGCATATAGCGCAATTATCAACAACGATATCTGTAATTGGGAGTAGCAGGGAATGAACAGTTCGGATGGATGAACGGGACAAGAAAAGAGGAACGAATTAGGGTTAAGGTAAAGGGAAGAGGTACCCCAGGCCCAGAGAGCGACAGCATTCCACTTCTTGATCTCGAACCGCTTAGGCTTCTTGGAAGAAGGGCCAGCACTGCTGGAGGAGGAATCACCAGCTTGCACCATCGGGACATCGGTATCCATGGCAGCCATTCCTTTCTTTCACACAACTCAAATGTCTTTCGACGCCGCGCTCTGATCAAGATTCAAGAGAATGTCTCTTGTTTACGCTGCTTTGTATTTTATTTTTGCCTGAATCACATCTAAAATATATATATATATATATATATAGAAGTATATTTTTTTTTCAGTAACATATTTAAACATTTCTTCTCCTTCCATCTCAATTTCGGTTTGCCACCCCTGTTCTTACAATTGGATTTGGACGTTGGATGCATTTTTTTAGTAAACAGTAGGTTGCACTCTTTATGGTCTATTAAAATTGCGAAAAGTTATTTCCGAGTAATGAAAATTTTAATCATTCAAGTTTGTCCCACATGCCAATTTCACCCATCAAATTTTATTTTTATCAACTTGATTTTTTTAAATGTGTTTCAATTTTAATCCCTCGTGTTTAAATTTTTTATTAATTTAATCTCTTGAATTTATTTAAATTATGAATTTAGTTCTTATTATTTCAAGAAAAAATTAAAAATCTACTAACATACTTAGATAATAAAATATACATAGCAATGATCAATGAATATAAATGTAATTATTCAAGCAGAAAAAAAGATTTGGAAGTTTTAAACAACAAATAACAAAACATAAGTGACTAGATTTATAAAACTAAAATCAATTTGAGGCATAATTTATTCTCATTTAGCTTCATATATATTAAATTATTAAAATACTTTACACATCAAATTAATTTGAAAGTCAAGACAAATTTGAAAGATTAAAAATTTCATTACTTTTTATTTTTTTCCTGTGAAAATTGCGAAAATTTATTGTTACAATGGATTAAAGTAATTTTTTGATAGAAAATTAGAGTAATTTTTGAACGGCAACTTGCCAACTTAAAAATCAATAGCCTTAACCGTGACAAAGAGTTACACTAGGCTTGCCGCTGGCATTTTTCATTATTGACGGGTTACCAAGGTTTTTTTTTTTTTGTCTTACTCGTATGATTGATTTTTTTTTAATTGCTCACAATTACATCTTAGATTAGGTTTTTTTTTTATTGATTTAAATCTTAAATATGGCCTTTTTCACTTGCCTGTGTTAGCTGTAAGATAGTTTTTTAGCTAAGGAAACAAAAAGGAAGGTTATTTTGGGCTTGGCCCTTTAAATACCAAATAAAAGTAGAGACGTGAAAAATGAATTTTACCCACTCATCCTGTCCCATGTATAGAATAAAGAGATAAGAAAAATTGTAATTTTTTTTTATAAAGCACTTGTCAATTTTTAATATTTTTTTATATTTTTCTCTTATTAAATACTTTAAATAAAAATATTAATAATAAAATTTAAGAATATTTATTAAAATAAATGTGAAAAACCCTTAAATTTTAAAACAAACTTAATAAAGTTTAAAGTTTTATTTGGTTTCAATGAAACATATTTGAAATAACTTAAAATAAAACTACAGAGAATATTTGGTATTATTCAGCCAAAAATTAAGAGGCATGAGATACAACGGCAAGGAACTGAGCAATGCATCATCTAAATGACCAATTTACCATGGTCCCTGACCTCTTTAAGATGACAGGCACCCGTTTGGTTCACTTCACATGAATTTTAGGGGGAAAAAACAGTGGAAAATGTCGTATTTCTTGATTCGGTTGGCATGAATTTCGATTTTTGGAACCTAAATTTTCGACATTAACCCTAAAATTCATTTCCTGAGCTGGACTTGAGAAAAATCAGATTCTCCACGGAACATATTTCTACTCCATAGTCCCCACCCTGTCCTTCAAACCACCGCGACCTCTCTGTCAACCTTCCCATTTTTTAACGCAAAAAGTTGCGGGGGCGCCATCTTTCTTGTCTTGTCATGCTCATTGCACTTCCATATCTCAACACAGCCTTCATCACGTGCTTCATCAAGGCCCCACGCTTTCCCCTCTTTCTTATTCTACGTAATCTGCCAACTTAATAATTGATAGGTTTGAGAAAAATTATTGCTCAATTTTCCGGCCACCTCAATACAAATTTGCAGTCCTTGGTCATTTGAACTGAAATTTGGTAAAGCCGGGGAGAGCATTTTTGGATTTAATGTGAGCAGAACAGTGGCAAGGGATAGCTATAGGAAGCAAGCAAGAAATCCAACTTGCTTTTATGCTACCATTTGTAGGATCGACTGTCGACACTCAAAATAGAGAGAACATGTTTAACTCCCTTATGTCCCTGTTTGAAACACGATTTACAAGTATTACACGGCACCGATGACAAAGGCCATTTCAACTTTAGAATAATATTTTGTATATAAACTAGGAGGCATTAAAAGCAGAATACACTTCGTGTCCGTTTGGATATGTCTATAATCGATTTTATTTTCAAAAAAATCAATTATTTAATTTATTAGCCAAACATTTAAAAAAGTAAAAAATCGATTCTAACCCTTAAAATCGATTTTTTTCAAAAGCTAATATTCTAAGCTTTTCCAGAAACGCTGATAAAAAAAAACTGGAGAAATTACATAAAAAGGTCCAAAAAAAATTATAAAAAAGCACAAATTTTTTTTTTAAAAATTAAATTCCCTTCTCTTCTCTTTTTTTTTTCTTAGTAAAATTCAAATTTTAAATCTTTAAAAAAGTTGTTAACATATATTAAGTTAAAATCAATTTTAAAAAAATAATATCCAAACAAATTACGTTATAACATAATCAATTATGATTAAAATCTACCACTTAATCAATTATTTTCATAATCTATTATACCCAACTGAAATCCAAACGGACCCTTCGTCTTTAATGGTGCACAGCGACTACAACCTGAAAGCAAGATAAGCGACGCGGTATTCACCAGGGCAGCCTTCCAGTATCTCAATACAACTTTTAAGCGACGATGGGATAAGATGCACAAGTTGCAATTCCTGAAATTTGATGTTTAGTGCCAAGGATTAGCAAAACCAATTTTCGCCTGGGAACCAAATACTCAAGCCAATAGAAGCCTCTCTATATATAGACTATAGATATCTCGCGAGCACACAAATATGGGCTCTTTTTCTAAGGCTGGGGTCTTTCAGATACTTACCGCAAAGGTTCTTCCCCAATTCCATTTTGAAGTAGCCATGGTCACCCCAGCTATCTCCCCAGGAGTTTTTGATGAGCCAATACGGGACACCATCTTCCACTCCATACCCAATTGCAAGAACAGCATGGTTTACATCCTGCCATGTAGATTCAGATTTGGTCAAAGAATGTCCGATTAGTACGTTGTCCCGGAAATTAACATGGAAAACGAGTGTATGCATGTAACACATCTATTATGATGACAAACGGCTCCTGTCAGTATAATTAAAATTCACGGTGTTTCACAGTCGTTAGGATGTCAGAGAGCAGAATAAACCACGTTTTGTGAGACCATATTAAATATATATCAATGCATTAGCCTTCTAGCAATGCAGTTTGATCTGCTATTGCATTAAAGACACCCCAATTAATAGCGTCAGATAGTCCTCCCTTCTCAAGTAGAACTCACCATGGGAGTGCTTCCACAGGTGTTGCTAGTGTAAACACCTTTCTTGTAGAATCGGAAACCACTCACCACCTCAAATGCCACACTAACCGGCCGAACAAAAGCAACTGCGTGCTTTAATTCGTCCTCAGCACCCTGCACCCAAGAGATCATAGATCAATAAGAACATCTTGAACAGTTCGGGGGCCGAATTGATCTGATTCTGTAATGTCTGTCTTGAATCGATATCAACGTCATAATTATCGACACTTGACACATATAAGCAGCAGTGGAGCACATTATAGTGAGGGGATGCAAACGCGCACCTTCACTTTGGGAGAAATTACATGTAGGGTATGTAAATTTTATAACTTTACATTCCCTACTCTTAATATTTTCTTTAAACTAAAAAAAAATTGAGCTCGAAAGCTTATTAAATATATAATATTTTAATGATCAAAATAAGAAACGAAGAGTATATTTATATAAAACACCATATCAATCTGCTGAATATAATTTTCCAAAGAGAAAAATGATGAGCAATCTACTTCTGCTGTTACAATTTTAGTCTTAACATAATTATCATTTTTTATTATTAAATTATTATTTTTTAAAAAAATTATCATTTTTCAAATTAAATTATCTTACAACCCGCCTCCCCGTCCTGACTCTGCCATATAAGTTAGAAAACGCCTCGTAAAAAAGTAACAGAAAACCTATCAGTTCAATTACCAAGGTGATGTTCACAGAGTCAAGGACTCGGATAGCAACATTTTCAGCTGAGAATTTGCAGACTTCATCTTTTCCAGTGTAAGGATATGCTTTCTCGGTCTCAAGCCCACCATTATATTTGATGTACTCAAAGGCTTGGGATGGCAGCCCACCATTACATCCGAAGTTATTGAAAGCTACAGCGCAGTCCACTAGCTGCTGCTCAGAAAGAGAGATATTCTTTCCAAATGCCTGAGCATAAGCTGCCTCCAAAGCCCCAGTGGTGCTGCAGATGATAGATATTAGTATATCACGGTCAGAAGCATAATAACAGATATAGAGTAATGCCTTATTTGTTCGAGACATTTTCTAAGTGCAAAAATAACCTGAATGTCCAGCAGGATCCACAGTGGCCTTGATCTTTGACCGGGCTGACTATGCCTTCTTTTCTCCAGTCTTTCTGCAAGTAAAGCCAGCCGAAGGCAAAGAAAAATCTTTTAAGATTCCATGGATATCATGATTTCCAATGTCAAAAGGAAGGAAGACGAACAGACGATATCTAACAAATTAACAAATGCAAATAACCAAAGACAAGGAGCAAAAAACAGGTTAACAATGACAAGGCCCTGTGGAGATCCTGATTAACCGTTTCCCAATTTCCTAAACTCCCTGAGGACTATTCCCCATCCATTGAACCATAAAGCATCGGAAACTAATTTTTTGAAACTGATGACGCTGCTATATCTGCGTTCAACAGACAATTTCAATGAAGAGCGGGTAGCTACTAGCAACTAAGGGAATGGAAACAATTTACTCCCTGCGTGCAAAAAATTGACCCTGTCATTCATATTTTTTTACAAACAATTTTTACATAAAATTCAAGACCTTAATTAGCTTTAATTAAAAAGCAAACTAGATTAAGTGACACAATATAAAAGTAAGCAGTATCTACTTTCATATTGAATACATTAGGTGCGCCAAAAATGAACTCTGCCTGGTAGCTAACAACTGTTGAATATTAGGGAGATAGTTATAATTGATTGATTTGTTGCAACTTGCGAGCATCAATGCAAGTAACTTTAATTTCACTGTGATAGGAAACAACAATTAATAATATTTGTTGGAAGTTGGAAGTTGTTGAACGTGATCTCTTAATTAATAATATTTCTAAAAGCTTAATAAATAATAGAGCACAATGACGTCTTGCAATCCATGTAGCCGACCCCACCTAGTGGGATAAAGGCTTGTTGTTGTTGTTGTTGTTGTATAGGAAACAACAATAACACATTTGTGAGTCATCGTTACATACCGTCTCAGGAAGAATATCATCAGTAAGCTTGTGGTTGCCCTTAAAGGTGGCAGAGCAATTTTGAGCAGCACCTAATCTGTGGTTTTTGAATTCCTCCCAAGTCCAATCAGCAAAATCTGTTTGAAAGGAAAGACGACATTCACAACTAGTGTTTCTAAACCTGCCCCGTCATCTCCTTACATCTTCCCTTTTTTTTTCCACGTGTCTTTCTGCGATGAACAATCGCCAAAAGGCCCCTCTTCAAAAAATAAAAAGCAAAAACAAAACTTAGCTCTCAAATGAAATTAGACTACTAAGATATTTATTTCCAATTTCCTTGTTTATGCTTCTTATAATTTCTCCTTTGCACTTCTGATGGTATTTAAATTTCTCCTGCTTTACCTCTAGCTCCAAATCAGTGAAGGATCAGGTTAACACCTGCTAAAGCTGCCAATCACTGACTATATTCATCTTAAAGTGCCTAAAAAAAGGATCGAATGCTCACACCCACACACCTAATCCTAGAGTGCTTGAATTGAATATGTGTCAAAGAAGGGAAAGTAACAAAAATATTAGTGAAAATTCGCACATACGATTAACACCAAGAGCATACGACAGGCCCTTCCTGTTGGTTGATCGAATAAACTTCAGATTATCGGAGAAGATCTGGAACCGGAACTTCATCTCGTCGACAGTCTCATAATGCTTCCCATACCTGATCATTCGTAGGACAATACATCCCAGTCCAGAGGTTCAAGACCCAGAAGAAGTAGCGAAAAAGAATAAAGTAATGGGAAAAAAATGGACAGGGATGGACCTGTGAGCGAAGCGGGCGAAGGATAGGGTATGGCGTGTTTGGCCGATGATCCGGAGGACCTGGGGCTCGAAGTCATGGAGGCCGTCTGTTACTAAGCGGATGGGATTGGAGTCGTCGAAGGTTGATCCAACTGCGGCGCAGAAGAGCAGCAAGAGCGTGAAGGACAGCAATAACAACCGAGCCATCTATCTATCTCCTTCGCTTTGCTAATCGCTGCTCCCACTGTTATGGAGGTCTTCCGTTTCCGTCAGATTTCCTCCGTACTTGTATTGGATCAGCAGCACCAGTGATGAAAGATGGTGATTGGTTATCTCTTAAGCGTTAAATGACCAAATTCTCCTCCACCACGTCGCATGATTTTGGCCTCACAGCTTCACAGCTTCAATCTTAAAAGAAACCCGTGCCATTAATTTCTTGAGTTGATTAAACATTAAAATAGAAAATCATCAAATTTTTTATATATTAAATTTATAATTGTCTACTCAATTAAAATAACTTAAATCAAGTAACTAGACACATTTTAAACTTTATGTATACCCATACTTACATGAATTCAAGGGACTTGCTGACAATAACGAATCCAAGGAGGCTAGCAAGGGCGGTGGTCCCATGCTTCAAATTTTATTTGAAAAAAAGTTTAATTTTGTTTATAAAAAAAATGTAGAAATCAATGTTTGGCTCCCATATTTAGATGAAATTTCAGCCCCTCCTATGATTTCAGGATTCCTCCCTGCTTGCTGACCCCTCACTAATCCAGTCTTGATCATTAGAATCTCACAGGCTGTTAAAGGATACGTTCCCAGATTTCTTTTGAATCCCATTGCCCAATTTCCACTTCCAAAGACAGCAATCAAGTTATAAAATAATAAAAAAAATTAATCTTTCAATCCTTCAACTTTTAACTTACTTGTAATATAGTCCCTCAGTTATAATTCGCTGCGGCTCAATCTCTCAATTATAACTTACTGCGACTCAGTCGCTCAACTTTTGATTCATCTATAATTTGGTCCTTATTTTTAATTTTTTTTAAAAAAATTCTTATCAAATAATAGGGATAAAAAATGTTCATATATTATTCTAAAATACCTCATCTTGCTCATTGATGTCAGATATAAGCTAATATAAAAAAAAATTAACAAAAATTTAGGGACTAATTTGTAAGTGATTCAAAAGTTGAGGGACTGAGTTACAGTGAGTCATAGTTAAAGAACTAAGTTACAAGTGAATTAAAAATTAGAGAACTAAAAGATTAATTTTTTAATATAAAAATACTGAGATAATATAAAATGGTGATAGAATAAAAAAAATTGCGAGACTGGTAACTCTATTCGCTGCTATATCTATTTTCAATTTGCCAGTTAACTTCATTTATTTATGGGACGGGGCAGAATTTTTTTTTTTTTTTGAGAAAAGGGAAAATCACAATCAAGGATCACTAAAAATAATTAATTATATTATAAAATCAAATGATTTTAATATTACTTTATAGGATCAAAAGATTTAAATGTAATTAAAATTTATTGTAAAAAAATAAAATTGTCCTTGATATATATTTGTTGTGATGGGAGAACTGACTATTATTAAAATAAAAATGAGATTTTTTTTAAAATAAAAACTTGATCACCAGCTTATAACAATTCATCCATACCAGATTAATATTTTATAATTGTTAATAAAGGAATTGTAATTATGAACAATATTTGTTCCTCTCCACCATCAAGTTAATTTTTTAAAATTTTTAGTAAGAGAATTAATTGTTATTAAAATAAAAATGAGATTTTTTTTTTGAATGAGAAGTTGTTGTTAAAATATACACACACATGTAAAGAGTAGCTTTATCATTTTACAATAAATTTTAATTTAATTTAAATTTTTTAGTTTAAATTTAGATTTTTTTAGTTTTATAGAGTAATATTAGAATTATTTAATTTGATCCTGCAGCACAATTAATTATTTCCAATTGTTTTTTATTGTGATTTTCCCTTAGAAAATGAGATTGGGTAGACTTGTGATAGAAAAACACGAATACTCCAGCACACACAAGTTGGGTTTGATATTGACATTGTTGTTTCGCCAAGAAAAATATCGTTGAAGTTAGAATTCTCAACTTGCACGTTAGTGCTAGCCCCAGGGATCGGAAGGGTCCAAGTGAGAATAGTTGGTTTGATAATAACAAGCAAGAGTGGAGAATGGAATTTGGAAAGTGACGGCAGATGAACAGGATCGCATCCTACGTCACGGATGACGAGTCCGTTGCCCTCTACTAGGGTCCAAAAAGAGATTTGCATGTACTGATTTAATTCAAGTGGTCTAAACTTTAAATTCAAAGTTTTCATTTTTTTTTAAATTTATATTTATTAAAATAAAAATTTATAAAAATTATAAAATGCATGCCTATATTCTGTATAAAACTGCAGATATACCGTGCTTTAAATAGCATACATTTTTAATGTTTTTTAAAAATAATTAATGAATAATGTTGTTAACAAAATAAAAAAATATAGATGTGGAACGCATAATAATAAAAAGTGGGCGTGGGATTCATAATTTATTTTAAAAAATTAATATTTTTAATATATATATATATATATATAAGGGTAGCACATTGTAAAATGTAAGTTTATTTTAAAATAAAGAAGAGTATCACATTATAAAATAGAAGCACATTATAAACAAATATTAAATTACATATTTTAAAACCTTTAAAGTTGTATTTGGATGTGTGTATTTAAGTTAGGAATTAGAATTTAAAATTTCATGAATTTTAAATTTTTTATTTGGATGATATATAAATTTAAAATTATAGCATTAAACTCCTTTGTTTGAATATTAAATAAAATTTTAAGTTTTAAATGATATATTTGAATTTAAAGGCAACTTAAATTCAATGGTCCAGTCTCAACAAGACCACCAGTGCTGACTGAGATTGGATTGCTAGTGCCGTCGGGATAGGATCATTAATGCCAAATGATACTGAACTATCAACTCAACTAAGACCCTACTTCAAACGCTAATCAAGACTAAACTTCCTACATACACCAGAATCGGATCGTTAGTGCCAGCCAAGATCGAACTAGTAGTGCTAATTGGGACCTACCTACGAGCACTGACGGAGATTAGACAACTAGTTTCTAATGGGACTAGACCGTTGATAGGGATCGAATTGCCGACGCTGACCACAATAGGATGACCAACTTTAACTAAGACAAGACTGTCAGGCCTGAATGAGACTAAACGAGAAACTTTCATTGGGACAAGACAATAGGCTCTGACGAGGACCAGACCGTTGAGGTCGATCAAAACTAAACGACTGACTTATATCGGGATAGGACTATAAGCTTTGACTTGGACCAGACTATCGAGGTCAATCGGGACAAAATGGTCAACCTCTAATCTTGGTCAGCTGAAGTTAGTAGTCCACTGTCGATAGCCTCCGACCGTTCGATTCTGGTCATCTTCAGTGATCTTATCCCGGTCAGCACGGACAATCTAGTATAGGTTAAAGTCAGCAATCTAATCTCAGTCGAGGTTAGCAATTTGGTCTAAATTGAAGTCAGTCATCCAGTCTTAGTCGACAACAATGATCTAGTCTCAGTCGAAGTCTGCCATCTTGTTTAGGTAGAAGTCAACTGTTTTGTCTCGATTGGCGTTAGTAATTTAGTCCCAATTTTAATTTGCCATCCTATCTTGGTGAAAGACTATCGTTTAGTCCTAGTCAAGGCTGACGATCCAGTCTCAGTAGAAATTTATCATCCTATCGTGGTTAACACTGTCCTTCCAATCTTGGTCAACGTCGGCTGTCCACTCTTGATTAGTGTGGTTATCTAGTCCTAGTCATCATCAACAATCTAGTCCTAGTTGGCACTAGCTATCTGGTCACAGTTCTCCCGTACCGTCTTATCCTCATTAAAGATAATCATACAATCTTGGTCTGCCGTGGCTATTTGCTCCTGGTCAAAGGGAACCATATACTCCCAATTAAAGTAGGCCATATGATCTCGATCAAAATTGATCATTCGATCCCGATCACAACCGATCATTTGGTTATGATTAGCACTGATGATCCAATCTTAGTCGATGTTGGCTGTTTAGTCCTGGTTAGTGTCATTCATGCATTCTCGATAAAAGTCAACCATCCAATCTCGATCGGTACCTATGGTTTGGTCCTAGTCAGCATTGACAATTAGGTCTCGGTTAACACCAATAGTCTGATCTTGATTAGCATCGACATTCCAGTCCTGGTCATCACGACATCACCTATGGTCTGGTCTATGTCGATGCTAACAATCCAGTCTTGAGAAGGTGGCGAAGTTGACGAATAAACACAAAAAAAGAGATAAGCTCCCATTAAAATTTGAAATAATAAGGGTTTAAAAACGATTTGAAATTACAAAGGGATTAAGGTAGGATTTGAATTTGGGTAATTACTCAACAAAAAAATTGACACAAATTCAAATCCACATACATCCAAACATATCAAAATAGAATATTTCTAATGATGTTAAAAATGAGATTAAAGTGTAGGTTTTGAAAAATAAAGAAGGGGTCTTTATAATTTTAACAAAACAAAAGAAAGGTCAATACATTTTACTTTATAATTTATTAATGTGTAAGTTGAAATCTAAAGAATATTTTATTTTAAAATTTATTATGTTCATGAATATTAAAAATACAAATAATAACTTATTTTATTTTATAACGTGTTGTCGTGTGTAAAATAAAATTTAAGAAACAATTTCTATTTTACATTTTGCTATCCTTATATATATATATATATATATTAAAAATATTAATTTTTAAAAATAAATTTTATTAAATAAATTATGGGGCTTGCACCCACTCTTTTTATCTTGAGTCCCACATCTATAGTTTTTTTATTTTTTCCAACAACATCATTCACTTGAAAAACCTTAAAAAAATAAAAAATAAAAATAAAATATTAATAAAATATATAAATAAAAATTAGGCTCCTTGAAATGTTATAAGTCTTTTAAAGTCTCTAGGTATCTTTATGGCATTAATGATTTTAGGTTAAATGAATAGATTGCCCTTTGTTTAAAATAAAAAAGGTTATGATTTTTTGCTTAATTCTTACAATTTATAGAATAAAAGTTATGCTTGCTTGAACTGAAATTATAACTTGTTATTTTCAGAACATGAACTTCAATGATAAAAAAAATTCATGTAAAAAGTTATAATTTTTTGTTCAATTCTTACTATTCACATAATAAAAGCTGTGATTATTTAAAGAAAAGTTGTGATTGATTATTTTCAGAACTTGGACTTCAATAATAAAAGAAGTTTTATATGAAAAGTTTTGATTTTTTTGTTCAATTGTCGTGATTCATAAAATCAAAGTTATAATTTCTTAAACAAAATTTATAATTGAGATTGATTATTTTCAAAACTTATTTATCAATTATGAAAGAAATTTCATATGAGAAGTTATGTTTTTTTTTTCAATTTATGTGATTTAAAGAATAAAGTTATGATTGAAAAAATGAAGCCAGACTCGTTACTTTTATTTTAAACAAGGGATAATTTAATCATTCAACTAAAAATTATCAATGTCAAAGAGGTACTTAAGAACTTTAAAAAATTATAACATTTTAAAAAACTTAATTATCATTTATATATTTTAATAAAACTTTATTGTCATTTTTCATATGACCCTGTTTGGTTGGGGGGGAGGGGAAGGAAGGGGAGGGGCTCCTCTTCCCTCCCCTCATTTGGTTAGGAGGAGGGGAGCCCCTCCCCTCCCCTCCCCTCCTTTGGTTAGGAGGAGGGGAGGGAAAAATTTTAAAATTTTTCCTTCCCTCCCTTCAAATTAGGGGGGACCTCCCCTCCCCTCCCCTCCCCTTCCCTTCCTTCTCCTCAAATCAAACAGACCTAAAAAGAGAAATGCACACTATTTAAAGTACTGTAGATTTGCAGTACTTTGACATTATATGGTTGGGGAGAGGGGAAGGGAGGGGAGGGGCTCCCTTTGTCCCATATAATTAAGGGGAGGAGAGCCCCTCCCTTTGTTTGGTTAGATGGAGGGAGGGGAAATTTTTAAAATTTTTCCTCCCCTCCCCTCCCCTACAAAACCTCCCCCCAAATTGGGGAGAGACCCCCTCCCCCTTTCCTTCCCTCTCCTTGAATTAAACAGAGCTTATAATATATATAAATTTATTATTTAAAATCATGTTAAAAAATTTTAGAGTCATCAATTTTTTCTAATATTGTATTTGTATCCTCTCATTTTTTATTTCATAAAACTTCAAATAATTTTTGACAAAATGTTTAAATAAATAATTTAAAGATGTCTAATTAAAATCATAAAATTTAAATAAAAATAAGCATAAATTATATTGATTAATCCATCTATTATTATATTAAATTTCTACTTCATTAATTTTTTCACATGTATATTTGAAATATTATTTTAGCAATTTCATGTATTTGATTTTTTTAAAAAATACTAAATAAAGAAATCTATATAACTAATAAATTTTAAATATGAATAAAAATTTAAAAGAATATATTAAGAATGATATTTTGATTTAACATATGTTATTTAACTGCTAATTGATGGTTAGATGAATAGAAATGAAAACTTAAAAGTAGAATGAATGATTTTAAAAAACATTCATATAAAATTTAAAAATAAAAGAGTGGTATTTACAATCAAATAAAAAAATACAGGTGAAGGCAATGCATTTTACTTTAAGTACATTAAAGTAATTTTCTTAATTTTTTATATTTATATTTATATTTACCTTTTAAATACTAAAACATTCACGTGTATCGCACGGGGCACAAATCAATCTAGTCTCGTCATATATATTGAAAAGTATGTTGAACATAACATCCTTGATATTTAAACCCAATTAATTAAGTTTAATAAGGGTAATTAGTTTAATGGTGTGGTGTATAGCCATAGAGGTCCAAATTATATAAATGATTGTGATTTCAACTATAAAAAACGGGTGAAACGTGAAATCAGGCCATTTGAGGATCAAAAGGTGAGAAATAATTGAAGAAGGGATCTTTGTGCTACATGCCATGATGTGAGAAACATCCACCGTAGCATAGAGGCAGCCAATAAAGGGTGGGCTTTCTCTATGCCATGTACTGCAATATACAGCCAAAATTTTGCTTAAACTAGCCATGCTCTGTTCGAAAAACCAAATAGAAGGAAAAAGAGAAAACAAGACAATTGTACTAGTAGGCCTCTAGATTTACGTATATGAGTAAATGAATGACTAATACATTAGAACGCTATTTGTGATTGACAACAAAACATTATGGCGTTAACAAGTAAAGTGAGTGAAGTTTTGAAGCTTGTAATTTGTAATTATCTATATTAGATTAACAAGCGACATTTGTAAAATAACAACAATTCATTTGAAATTAACAAGAATCTATTATGGTTTTAACAAGTCAAAAAAATGATAGGAAGGGTTTAGTTGTGCGTGTTAATCATTCATTGAAAAGTATCCATTTAATTTTAACAACAACTTATTTATAATCGAGAACAAGACATTAGAATATTTAACAAGTAAAATGAGTGAAATAATAAGTTTCATTCAGAAATTAACAACATATATTAAGTTATTATATGAAAGTGGTTTTATGTTTGATTTACTATTTATAAATTTTTTTGTCATATATATATATATATATATATTAAAGGGTTTGGTGGCTTAGTGGCCACCAAACTTTTTAGGTGACCAAAAGTCATGAAATCAAATCCACCCTTAACCACCTAAAAACCTCAATTCTTAAATAAAATATCGTTGGTGTCAGAGCTTCGGCAACCCTGCCAAAAATAAGGGCTCTAGTAATCATGTCGTCGGTGAAGGTTTGACAACCAACAATGGTCTGATGGCTGATGATGGGGTTTCTTTGCTTTTTTTTTTTTTGGTTTTTAATTATAAGAACATTTTAATTTTTTCACTTATAAAATTAATATGTCAGAGACTCGAGGGCTGTAATAATGTTATGAAATTATTTGATCTTTGTAGGATATAATATTGTACAGTGGTCTTCAGATGTTATCTTTCCATGCATAAAAGATTAAAATAATTTTTTTAAAAAAAACAAAAAGCTAATAACCTAGTCGACCTCGATTGCACGCAGCTACGAGAATCCTCAATCTTCAATTTGTGCAGGGGAGAATTTTCTGTCAGTAATAGTATAGCGCCATGCCATTTTCTGAACTAAGGAACCAAGCGTCCAGGACATCTGCAACTTTGCGGCCGCAATCAATTGTTCTATAGTTTTGTTTAGCAGGCTAATCTACAATATGACGACTGAGAGATACACTTCTGCACCGGCAACCTTGTCCGAAGAGAACGCTCTGTAAGCAACATTAGCATGAATTCTTTACGCCCCTTTTTTCAGTGATTCTATTTTTGAGCTTCAAATTTCGTTATGCCATTCTGTTGATGGTGTTTACGCTTGCAAAACTGCAATGCCTGTTTGGATCCCAATATCGTTAAGTGGTCGTGCGTAAATTTGTTTAGCAGCGTCCTTGGTTGGATACTTTATTCTTACAATGATGTTTTATTATTGCTACTATAGGTTTCTTGATATACTCCATGAGGCCCCTCTCTTTGCTCATCGGAAGCCTGCGAGAGTTGTTGGGAGTATTTTCTATTGCTTCCTATTGGTAAGTAGAATCGAAATCATGGAAACTTACGAGTCCTTGGACGATTTTAGTAGATTTGCAAGCTAATTATGTTTTTGTTTGCTTATATTATGGAGTAATTTGCTTGTTGTGTTTCTTCAATTTTAGGCTGGTTATACTACTCTGGCCGTAGGAGCTCCGTGGATACTGCGCCCCTTACAAGGACTGATCTCTCCTATGCTTTGTACTTGTGATGTTTTTCTGTTATTAATCACAGGTTTGGCCTACAACTATCATGCATTTTGTTCCCTTATCTTTGCACGTGGATAATTTCCAATGCGGGCAATGCTTTGTTTAGGCGGCGTTAGATATAAAGAGCATGCTTATCCTGTACTGGTCCTTTCAATTCACTTCCACAGAAAAGTTATTCTTTGTTGGCAATAGAGTCTAACATATTTCAAGGGGATACTCGTTATTCTAATGGTTAAATATAGACTAAATGTTTGACAATGACCCTGCTTCCAGTTTGATATGCCTTTCTGATTAGAATGTAAGAAGAAATGTTTGAACAACTCTTACTCATAATAACTTCCAAGTTTCCATACCTCATTTTGCAATTCAATAGAATAATCTATGCAGTTATGTTTTTCATACAGGACAGTTATTTTATATATTCTGGGGTCCTTGTTGAATAATTTGTAGAATGGAGCCTGGCTTTGGAGATAATACTTAAAGACTTCCTAACTAATGCGTATAATCTTGCAGCTTATTATGCTTTTTGACCACTAAATTTCATAGGCCTCAACTTCTTGTTGAAATTTGAACATTATATTTATTAATATACCATCATTTGTTTATACGAATGGTCAATATATATTTTTCTTGCTTTATAAAACATAAAGACAGGTATTTGATGGATTTAGACATACACACTGTCAAAACTTTGAAGGGCTATATTGTAATTGCATACAGTGTAGTTTTACTAAACATTATAAGCCTTTGCTAACCCTAGTTTTCCTTGTATCTTATTCTTTACTGCGCATGGTTTTAATGGCTATAAAGGTTACATTTAACTGTTTCAGGAATGTTTCAACAATATTTGGTTTACCAAGTGCAGAAGATACGCTTGCAGGTAATTCTTTTCAAGGAAAATACTGCAAATTCAGTTGGAAATTTCAAATACATGCACCTTGAATATTCATTATTTCCATGATACAGAGAAAAAAAATAGAATAACCAATAAAAAGTTGGCTACAAAAGTTTCTGATTTGTTTGGTGATCTTTTGATGTCCTAAATAATTGTTTCACGTGTGTGTTTTCTGATTGTAAAAAGTTGCAATTACAAAATTCTTTTGAAGGGCTATTATAGTTTCAGCCAGAAGTTGAAGTATATTATTCGCATTCCCTTTGCCATCACCGCTTATGGTATGCATTTCTATGGTTAACTTGGATCTGTTTTAATCTCCACACGACACTATGTAAAATCAATCAATTGATATAAAAATAATTAGTCTTCTTTGAATTACTGATGCAATCGTCTTTGATAATTTGATGTCAGGAACTGCTGCAATGCTACTTGTTATGGTCTGGAGACCCCACATAAGTTTTCTCTCAATCTCTGCGATTTTGAGGTAAACACATTTGTCTATGTCAAAATTACTATACTGGAGTGTGGATTAAATGGAGTTGAGAAGGAATGTCAATATAAAAGGATTATTTGGTCTAAATCTTATTAACAAAAGAAGGGTAATGATGTTTGCTTGATATTTTATGGCTATGAGTTTTTTTTTTTTTTTTTTTTTTTGGTGAGGACATTTTGTATCACATCATGTGCAAGATACTGAGGATTTCATTGCTTCTTGTTTTCTGTTGTCATTTATTTCTTTTAAGTAGATAGCTTAAAAGAAAATGATAGGTTATATAAAAATAAAAAATTAATAGGTTAAAGGGAAAATTTGCCTTGGAAATTTTGTACTAGTAGCAATTGGTATCTTTAACTTTTGATTAGAGCAATGTTACCTTGGAAGTTTAAAAAATGATGCATTGTCGTTCTACAGTAATGGTTGACCAACGTTGATCGTTAGTTGAAAATTCTAACTAGGCCTAAAGAGTAATTTTGCTTCAGAAGTTTTCTAAAAGAGCAATTGGTATCCTAAACTTTTTATTAGTGCAATGTTTTTGTGTTATTAATGTTCAAATTACAACAAAAATTTAACAACCCATTATCATTGTTAAAAATAGTTCATATTTCTAGATTTTGACAAAAGGTCATCGAGGTTGTTTTGATACAAAATCAACTCTACCTTGAGCACTCAACATACTTTCTTTTGAAGTTTGGACTTGCTCTTATTTTGCTCATGAGTAGCTCTTGGCTTGCACAGGCTTATATACGGACTTTTTCAAACATGCCTATAGGCAACATGGACTAGCTTGGATTTTGACTTAAAAGCGTTCAATGTAATTCAACCTAAAATCTCCTCTTTTGGTTATAACAAGTGTTGGATCCTTTTTGATTTGAAAGTTGATAATTCAAAAACATTGCACCAATTAAAAGTTTAAGATACCAATTACTCATTCAGACAAACGTTCAGGGCAAAATTAATCTTTTACATTCAAAATAATGGTCAAATTTGGTCAGCCATTACTGTAGGGTGACATTGCACCATTTTTGGAACTTTCGGGGTAACATTGCTCTAATCAAAAGTTAAGAATACTAGTTGCTTTTGGCGAAAAGCTTCCGGGGCAAATTTGCTCTTTAACTCAAAATTAATTTAAGAGATAGAATGATATATTTATATATGAATAATTTTTTCTTCTTTGTTATAATATTTGGATTATGAATATACTTATACTTAATCTGTATAACACCATTTCTTCCTATATTTTTATATGTGGGTCAAAGATCATTATGAGTGATTTGGCTGGTGGATTGTGGAGTTAGTGTTTTGCAAATATATATGAATATATGTATAATGTGTTGCATGTGTATGACACCGTGGCAAGTGCAATATGAATGTACCACCTGATACTATTCTAGACATATGGCTGGTGGATACATATGCTTGAGGTCTATTCCAGACATCTTCAAATTCAGATGTCGCTTGGTTGTGCCGCCTGATACTACAAATGAATTATTCAATAGTGGTTCACTTCTTAAATGATATATGACTGAGGGTGTTGCTAGTTTTTATTTATCTATTTCTTTTCTTCTTGTGGGTGATTTAATTTTGGATTAAAGGGCAAAAGTGGCCGGTAACTTTTTCTTTTTTTCCTAATAACACCCACCATCCTTAAGTAAATAAAGGTGTAGGAATATCTATGAACTTGTTTTGCTGAGTGCAACAATCCCCATATTGTTAAATTTGATTGACATCTATTAATGTTGACCTTTAAAAAAAGAAGCAAACGTAGGGTGCAAAAATAACCAAAAACTTTTTTAAGGGCTGTTGGTATTTTTTAAGTCAATGGTGCATGGGTACCTTGGGTTTTATGGCTAGCTTAATACTTGAATTGTTAAATTTTATTTTATTTTATTTTTCTTTTTTAGTCAATTTCAATTTTTATCTTAATTATAATTTTATTTTACTAATAATAAAAAAGAACTCGGCTATTCGTGCTAAGCTCATTCATGTTCGGGTTTGGTTTGGATTTCTTCGTGTTTATTTGGATGGCCTGAATAAGCCTCGAAACAAGGAAAATTTTCTAAACTTTTAAGCTTAGCCTTAAGATTTTCTAGGCTTATTCGAGCTAGTTCGTCAAGCTTGACCTAAATTACTGGTTTTAACCTTCCCTAGTCTGTTAAAATAATTTGATGTTGACTGTGAAGTTATAAGAATATAACTTAATGGATTAGGAAGTTTAGCCTATTTTATAAAGTTAATGGGTACCCATACATTATTGTCGACTTAACGAGACTAAAAGTTGCTGTAGAAAAAGTTTCTGGGTATTTTTGCACTTTATGTTTGTTTCCATTTTTTTAATGATCAACATTAATAGATATTAATCAAATTTAACGGAATGGGGATTGTTGCTCTCCGTAAAACAAGTTGATAGAGCTGGAAAATTTATCAAGACATATGAGAGGAAATTGAGGGGGAGACAAGGGACAGAGAGGAAAGATCCAGCAGTTTAAGGTTATTGTACTAAGGGTCCTGATAATAGGGAGAAGTCATGATGCTTGTAGAGTGGCCGTAGACTCAGCATAGAAGCTAGAGTTACTTTTGGGTTGCTTTAATATTGTACTTTGTTTTGGGAAGGACTCAGCAAATGTTTTAGAGAGAAGATACAAGTGAGGAGAGTCCTGGTCTCTCGAAAAACCAGCGAGGGGCTGTTTCAGCATTTGTTCTTGCAATCTGGGTACTAATTAGGGAATAGGGTTTTGGCCAGAATCAGTGAAAGTCATTTTGTAACATTGATTCGGTTATCCAGTCATTAATAGCAAAACCTCAGCATTTCCCTCATTTATTGCTTGTTTTATAGTTTTATGTTGTTGAGCATTTAATTTTAGAGTTGGGTTCTATCACAAGTTCATAGATACTTTTGCATCTTTGTTCACTAAAGGATATTGGGTGTTGGAGAAAAAGTTGCTGGGTATTTTTCCTCCTTAACCCTTTAATTTTTATCATCTTTTACAGCCTGATATATGCATGCGATACATGTAATCTGTCATGATTTTATTTTCTATTCCCTATTTGCCTTGGTTTATTTGTTCATTATCAGTTATGACATGATTGATCATTATCAATATAAATGTAAGTTCTACAAATGGCAGCTGTAAGGCATATTCTTTCTTTATGTCAAGGTGTTTACTTTTTGTCATCTTCTAAAACTCTACAGGATTATTATGGTACTAGAAGCGCTATGTGCTGGATCTTTTATGAGCCTTTATATCGGTGAGCTTACATTTATATTCTCTTTGTTTTACTATTAGGTGGAGACATGGGTTGGATATAAGGTGTTGAAATTTGAAACTGGGGCATCAAGCTTCCCTTGTTTGACTTTAGAAATGCATGCCTTGTTTTTACCAGATCAATAGGAAAATGTGCTGAACAACTACCATTAAAATCTGTCCTTCACTCATTGATTATCTGACAGTTCAATTTTTCTTGGTGATAACCCTTTTGCGCTGCTTCTAAATAATTATAAAGAAAATAAATTAGGAAAGGGAGTATGAAGCTGAAACATAGGTTAGCAACAAAGTTTGAATTTAGACATGCTTTTATTTGAAATCTAAGGTTTAAATAGTTTTTGTGTTCCAGTCATTTCTGGTATGGCTTTTTTCTCCTTACTTTGCCAAGAAAAGGTTAAGAATGGTTGGCCAGTTGTGGTAAACCCCCCAGGATGTAATTAGAGAAGCTCATATCTACCTAATCAATATTAACGGGTTTGAGAAGAAGTTCCTTAATCAGGTTGGACGTTTTCTTTTGGCCATGAGGTGAATTTCCCTGTAAGTGGTTAATCATGGTCTGATCCTAAAGCCACCTAGAGGCTGGTATAGCTTGTTGATTTAGTATAGGCAGCCCTGCATATTATCTGTCCCAACAATTGGTGATGGGTTTCATATTTTGGACTTCTTTCTCCAGAATCTCAACCATGTTTTTGTGTGAGAGGAAGCCATGGTTCTGTTTTAGTGGGGAATGAAGAACCTGGCTGTCATTCTATCCTCCCAAATCAGTGGTCTTTAAATACTAGGGTTCACCGTACTTTTGCATAGTTATAAGTTCTCTGATGCAAATTCCTTAGTTCCTAAGACACATGCTTTTCAGCTCATCATAACTGTCCACCTGATCAATTGACCCATTCAAAGGCATATGTTGCATCTCCCAGAATGCACATTTCAATAATTGAAATGGTAGGCTTTGGCTTTTTTTTTTTTTTTTTTAAATTTGCATAATGACAGGGGTCTATCACAGTCATCCTTTGTCAAGAAAACCCAGCCATCCACTTTGTCACCTTCAGATTACTCCTAAATATGAGGCCGAAGTTGAAGTTTCTGCAACCCTTTGCTGCTGCAGCTCCTTGCTACTTCAACCACTGGTTGCTGCAATGCATCACTGCTACAGACACGGCGTTGCTGTTTCAACCCATCACAGGATCTGACTCTTTTTTTTCATCTGACTTGCAGCAAGAGTTTAATGGATTTGAAAATGGATGGGTGGAATTTCCTGGCAATTAATGGCTGCAAGGGAGTCTGTCATTGTGAAGCAAGAGTTTAATGGGTTTGAAAATGGATGGCTGAAATTTCCTGGCAATTAATGGCTGCAATGGACTCTGTCACTGTGCAGATAAATGCAGCTGAGTCACCATTTCAACTTAAGTGAAATAGTGTGTTTTGGGTGATGCAACTTATTCTTCCATTGAGATCATTCAATTAAGGATGACTGTGATGGCCCGGGGAGCATGCTGAGCAGCATGCATCTCAGGACACTGGAATCTGCATTCGTAAGTTCTCTTCTATTATCCAGTGGACTATCTTTTTTATATGCTTATATGATTTCAGCAGCTTCTTGAAACTACTTTTGCCTTAAAATTTTGAGACAACCAACCTTGAATGCCAAATGGAATAGTTTCTAATCTATGTCTTGCAGAAGATTGTATTTCACGTTTGTTGTGACTATTTCACCTGACACATTCCTATGTGCATTTATGGTGCATGCAGGTTATATATACCAGTACAATTCGTTAAACTCTCAGCCTGATGTTCTGAAGTCCTTGTACTCTCCACTCCAGCCATCAAGTTCTTTGGAGGGTCTAAGGCAAACACTTTGCAACTTTGATTTTTCCTTGTTTTATCCATTGTTTCAAACAACAGATTGGGAACAAACCTTCATTATTAAAGTATGTTTCTATAGCATTGTGCTTGATGACTTAACCTTCCATCATTTTATGCTGATGGCAGCTGATGTAAATCATGTGTACGAGCTCAAAATTGTGTTGTACTGTGAGGCATGTTAACATCGTAATGAGAATCCCCTTTTAGTTAGTGTTGGGTGGACTGCATTGGCTTTTTTGTTAGGTTTTTGCCTTTTGCTTTGTGCTAGGTGTTCGGTGTATAGTGTTTTTACATTTTGTTGAATGAGAATTCCAATTCATATTCCAAAAAAAAAAAAAAAAAATTGTAATGAGAATATTTTGGTTTAATAGGTACCATGATGGTGGGAGGCTTTCTGATCAGCAAATGGCCTTGCTGCAATATCAGAGAGAGAATCTTCATTTTTTGAGTGAGGAGGTATATGATAATTTGAAGCGTTCATTACAGTGGTTAATGATTATATATTTAGCTGACTGTGGATATCACTGTACCTATCCGTTCTCTAGTTAAAGTGAATTACATAAATAGTTTTCCATCAACATTTTGGTCTTGTAGATTCTTCGGCTGCAAGAGTGTTTAAGTAAATATGAAAGAACTGATGATGGCAGTGCCCCACAGGTGATAATGACCGAGAATAAACTATTTTATCTTATCATTTCCATTTTAATTTATATATATATTTTTTATAGATTTTGGATGGAGTTTTGGCTGCAACCATCAGTTCAAACTCTCAGTGGCTGCAAAATTTTTCCACCTTATGCATGTTTTTCTGTTTATTTGTTCCCCCCCTTTTCTTTACATTAGAGAATGAATTACTTCTTTTGCAGGTTGATCTTGCTCATTTGTTAGCAGCTCGAGATCAAGAATTACGGACACTTTCTGCTGAGGTAGTATCTGTCTTTCCCTAGTTTTCAATGACTTGATACGATGAATGAAATGTGGCCGCATTTGTATAATTGCCTAAATCATATTGCACAAAATTCAAAATACTATCTGTGAATACCTTTTATGATGAGTTTTGCTTTATTCTTTTAGCTGATTGTGGTGGTTATTTTAATTTCTGCGATCAAGTTGTAATACTTTCCACGAAGTTTTGGATGTTATTTATGATTGATCTGTTACGTGTAATTGCCCCTGTTTGTTGGAGAATATACCGTGTCATGTTCGAACTTCATATGGTATAGCGTCAACATGAAGACAATTCTAGATTAAGGGTTGGAGTCATTGGAGAAGGAAGAGAAAGGAAATGAAGGGCTAGTGTTTTCTGACACATGAAACGAAACGTAATAGTTAAGGTCAAATTGTTCAAATTTTATTATAACGATGGCTTGGGTTTTATCATAGTAGCTGGTGGGTTTTGAATTTGATAACTAGTATGACGTTTTATACATGCATGGCTAACCGTCATGCCGAGATGGAGCAATTGATGGCCTCATTATATATCAAATATACGAATCAAAAACTTGATTTTAGGGATAGCTATGCAGTATGAGAGGTTATTGACTTCTACTCTGTCGCTCAAAAGGATCCTAATTGGGAAATGCATGTTACAGATGAATCAATTGCAATCTGAACTAAGGCTTGCTCGGTCTTTGATTGCTGAGAGAGACTCAGAGATATTGCGTGTTCGCACAACCAACAATCAGGTACCTTATCGGTGAACTAGTTTCTTCAGCTAACTTAAAAGTCGTTTGACAGTAAGGCGCTTGCACTAAAATTTCCGCTAAACACGACAGTATGTAGAGGAGAATGAAAGACTCAGAGCTATATTAGGGGAATGGAGCACCCGTGCAGCTAAGGTATGGTTAACGATAGGCATGATAGTGTAATACAGCGAAACATGCAGTCATAGCGTACTTTTCTGGCTTCAGTCTTCCTTGTTAATAGTACACGTTATATAATATTTATGGCATATTGAAAGCTTGAACGAGCATTGGAAGCGGAGCGGATGGCAACTCTTGAATTGCAGAGGAAGATTTCTATGCTAGGAAACCAATCACATACACCAGCTGAACCGTCTGAACATGGAGCTTAATCACTTGATGGGAAAATGTATGGATTGTTGCTCCCATTAGAACCCGCTTCGTTGTTTTCTGATTCACCTCAAACTCTGTTGTATTGTAAAGGGGATTGGACGAGCCTTTATAGCATTCTTACACTGGCGGAACATCAACACCCTGTTTTACGCAGGGTTTTCTCTTCATGATTCGAAGGGTCAATATAGCAGGATTTATCCTCTTTCCATTTACTCACCTTTTCTTATCCTCGTCATATATTTTACCATTGAATTAAAAATTGAATGGCTGAAATTTAAGGGGAGGATTCTATTCTTCTTTCCTGTTCAGCTATCCTCTTCCCCTCTTGTTTTTCTAATTATGATATTAAGATGCTGATAGTTCAAATTTAATGTTTTATAATTTTTTTTTATTGCGGCTATCCTCTTCCCCTCTTGCAATAAATATGCCATTTATAACAACTATTAAAAACATTTAAGAGTTTTTGTTGAATCTCCAATTAATTCATTTTAACACTTTCTTTTGTTTATTTATTTATTTTTTTGGCCAAAGGAACTTCTATTAAAAGTGGCAAAAGGCCACAGTAGAAACAATGCAAAAAGCAAGGAAAAAGCCAAGACAAGTCTAAAAGCAAGACGAAAAGGCAAAGAAAAAAGAAGCGACAGGAAGCAAGAGGCAAAAAATGCCAAAAGAGATCAGCCAACCCCATCACGGTTATGCTGAGATGCAAAGATCAAAAGCCAACTTAGAATTCATAGCATCGGCAGTTAGTAAAAGAGACAAATGAGGTGGTGTTTTCAGCCATCTATTCAGACCCACTTCCTTAATAGCAAATGCAGCTAAAAAATCAGCAGCACAATTACCCTTGCATGAAACAAAGAAAAGTGAGAACCCAGCTTCAATTGCCATGATATCTAAAATATCTTAAATGATACTCTTGCAAAACTACTCCCCATGAGCAGGTTGACCTTTGTTAATACATGATACCAACAAGAGGCAGTCACTTTCGAACAGCACCTTGTTGTAACTAAGGTCTCTTCTTAGTAAAAGAGCTCTCTTGAGCGCCAGAGCCTCTGACATAAAGGCCGAGATAGACTTAATTTTACCAGCAAATCCCTAAAGAAACTCTCCACTATCATTTCTGCAAACTAGCCTAACTGCAGCTCCCAAACCATTGTGGAAGTAAGAGCCATCACTATTAATTTTTTTAAAACCTGCAGGGGGAGTCTTCCAACCCAACTGATGGGCCTGCACATGTTGTACTCGGTCAGCTTCAATACTAGTGCTTAATGCCTTCCAAATCTCAAAGACTTCATTCTTTGCAATATCAATGACAGCTTTAGGATTAGGCTTGGATTTGATTAAAGACATTCCTAACTTCCACAGTTGCCACAGAATGCTACAAATTGATGCTATGTCAAACTCAATGAGCCCATTGTTCGAAGAGAAAATTTGAGACCACCAGCTGCCAAAATTAATAACAGAAAGCACATTACTTTGCACAAGTAGGTTGCTACCAAACCAGACACATCTAGTCCATGGGCATCTGAAAAAAGGTGCTCTATTGATTTGGGTTCTACTTCACAGATGGGACTTAAAGGCGAAGTGCCTCTATGTCTTCTAACAAGAGCATCATTCGTTGCTAGAGCATTAGAGAGACATCTCCACAAGAAATGACAGATACGAGGGAGGGTCTTAATGTGCCATAGATTTTTCCAAATGTCACCAGTGCTTGGAGAGGAAGAGATGGAATTAGTTGCTGCATTATTTCTAGCTTTCATAGGAAGGGACAAAAAAATTTAGTATTAACAAAATTCACAAGTGATTTGTTCTTATTCATTAAACCTTCTTCATGAGATTTTCAATTATAAATGTTAGGTTGTCATCACCATTAATTTCAAATAGAATTAAGACTTATTTTCCTTGACATTTTAATAATTAAAGTCATCCCAGAAGCTAGTTAATGAATTCATTAGATTTACATTTAATCTCACATAATCAATTGAAATAACTTCCTATGTTAATTGTATTACAAACAATGTCCATCTTCACCATTATTCTCTTTGCAATGTCTATTGTCACTTGACAATTACACAAATCGACATAACATATCAATTTTACTCTCAATATAATATTGATTAAGTTTCTCAACTATTCAACCTCATTATTAGCCAATTTTAGAATAATAAAATTTGACTCACAATATTATATTCGGCCATTGATGGGTTTTTCCCCATTTGAATTTAAAATTCAATTAACATCATTTTATTATTTTAATATAATGAGAGTCAATTATATATGATACCAGCATGTATGGTATCCATCAAACACTTGTTTGCCTTATCCTTTTATGAAATTACTTGATATACTCAATCTCCAAGTAGCATAGTATCATGGGATTAACATTGATCAATGTAATAAACTTTCAAAAACACAAAATAATCTCATTTTCTTTCTTTCTTTTTAATAAGTTTGCATCATGGGAATGCTTATTGACACTAAGTGTTGATATCAGATTTACGCTAGAACAATTACTAAGGAGTTTCTCCACAACTTACCTTCCAATTTTTTGAGTAATGAACTCTAATTCCATTATGGTCCTATCATCATATTTGTTTTTATCACCACTAGAGGTGGATTATTACTAGTGGATTTTCACACATGAATTTACAATTCAATCAACATCCATGTATCTTATACAATGTGAATCAACTATATACAATATAACAATTCATAGCTTCTTTTGTTCATGGGAACATAAATGAATCATTATTCACAACAATGAATATTTGTACTTAGATAATTAAATAAGCCATGTACCTATTTTGAAATACATTTATCTACACTAGGCGAATTAAATTTTGTGCTACCATCGTAATGCTTGTTTCAAGCCACATAATTTGTTGATAATTAACAAACTTTGCCCTCATGCAAATAGCCTCCTCTTAATAAATTTTTCTCTCCAAACCACAACACAAAGATATCTTGGCATTTGCAAAATGAGGCTAATAGTTGGCACAATACTTTTTTTTTTGGAAGAAAAATAGTTTTGCAAGAACCTCCACACATTATGCACCCTACTATGTAACATCCTAAAATTATGATTGGGTCTTAGAGTATCAATAGACACTTTAAAGAGGACATGAATTTTAAGTGTTGGGCCTAAAAGAGTAAGATATAAAAAAAATTAAAGTAATTAAATTTATTAAATATCTGGACTTAACTTATAAGAGAAAACTGAAAGAAGAAAATCATAAAAATAGAATCTAGTTAAAGTTTTGAGATCATCTTAGAATCATCTCAAAAGATATAGGTATGGAAATGATGATAACAATAATAAGGAAGAAATTAGTTTAATTTTATAAATTATAAATTCAAATTTTATAACCTAATGAAAACCCTACATCTACCCTCATTGAGTTTTCCTCATTCTTCCTGGACTCGTCGCACACTGCTTCGAATATCTAGCAGATAGTTTCTCAATGTTTCATCCTTCTCTTCCTTCCCTCATTCTTCCTTTCTTTTCTCTGTGCTTCTTTTTCATTGTGTTAGTGAGCAACCCACAATCCATACACTTGTATCTTTTCGCATTGCACAATACGCACACAGACGTCAATCAAATAATGCATCATTTATGACCTTCTTGATTAGAAGCAAGCATCATTCGAGTAATCACCTAGCCTCTTCAATCAATTCTTATATTTTTTATATATATCTATGTGTTATATATACATATATATGTAAACACATGCCAGTAACGGACAGCATCTTTTCACTGACATTTACCTTTCCTTCTTGTGTCTATACCCTTCAAATATATATTCAACTATATCTGTAATTGTGCGTGTGTCCCCACACACCCTCCAAATATATTATGTAAATTTAATATGAGTTTAGATTAGGAATTAAGATTTATGAATTTGGAAATTTCTATAAAATAAAATTCAGCATGAAATTTGACTCTAATTAACTAATTAAATTATAAAGGTATATAGACTTAAAAGAGAATTTTGGGTTATCTTAATATCTTTAAAGTCCTAGAGTAACTTAGGGTAGCCTTAGGGTGATTTTTGTCAGCTTTGAATTCTATATTAACATGTTTGCGCATATGTGTGTATTTTTGTAGACTCTCATTGAGAGTTTTTGCTGCCTAGATTGATGTGTGACTATTTGTAATCTAAAAGAGAACAAGTAACTTAGGGTTTTTTTATATATATGCAAGTTTTGTGTTTGATAATGAATGTAAATAATCATAAATTTAATTCTGAAAAATTTATGTTACTTGAATCCTATCAAGTATGCTTGTAGCTTGGTTATATATTATTGTTAGCATTTTTTTTTCAAGCATGTTTGTGAATATAGATTAATAATGTTTATTTTATGGAAATTGTATATTATTGAAGAGTAGTTTATTTCTTTCAAGCATGCTTGCAAATTGAGTGGATCGAATGAGATATTTTTATTTCTTTTTAAGCATGCTTGTATGCAATATAAATGTTGTATATGTGTAGTATGCATTGGAGAATGGTTGATGAGGAGATGATGATGATGATGATGTATATATGAATTAATGACCACGTGGTTTGCCTCCATTTTGTGCATGGTGGTTGGCCTTATGTAGGGCCCCATTCCTTAATACTTACCCGGCTAGGTTTGTAAAGGAAGAAGATGGGACAGTGACATCTCCTTGTTGGGTTCTTTAAGGAGGGGAGCCATAGTTTAGGGTTGGGACACTGTACCTTTGGCTAGGTATATTTCAAGCCTTAACAACGTTTGGGTTAGTTCAGTGTGTGGGTTAAATCGTAGATAAGCTTATGGTTTCGATCAGCGGTATAAGGTTCGATGGAGCAATAAAAAGGGTTATCTACCTTGCATATGATCATATGTTGCATATAACATTTATGAATCATGGCTGATAAATTGTTATGCTCATAATTTAATAATGACGTTGAATTTATATGTATGCATATAGTGCTAATTATGTGTAGTTGTTAGTTTGTACATATATAGTAAAACTTTTGGTTACTAAGATGTTAGTGCTCAATCCTTTCTTTAACATTTTAGGTAAACCTATAATTAGCAGAGCAAAGGGGAAGCGTCTGAAAGCTTGAGGCTTAGATTGAGTATGCTTTAAGTCTCATCTCAGTTTATAGAATAATCATTTGCCAATATAAGAATTATTGATTATTTGGATTGATTTTTTAGATTGTTTATTTCTTATTGATGATTATTA